ATCATCAACCGTAAACTCAAAGTGCTTGCTATCGTTCAGTGGTGTTCGTGGTTCATGCAACCTCCCCACTACCATCTCTCGATTCCGTCATAAAACGTTTTTCGCGTGTGTTCTGGCCTTCACCATGTTGCCAGTTGGATTGCTGATCTACCTTTCCAACAAACCCAATCAGTCTTGGACTTTTGATCCATTGTCTTGTGTGGTTCGCCTATTTGGACGCTGATTTACCATTTCCAAACAACTGCGCACGAACCCTGCCCAATCATTTAGCATTTCTTTGATGGTCACCGATTCGACTAGTCTTTGTATTTAGCTTTGGATTTGAATTTTTTTCGTGGTCATTTATTTTATGCTGAATTGTTATTTGACCATTTCTTAACACGTCGGAGAATCCACTCTCTTGCAATATTTTCCTTACAGCCACCTTGTCGAGGAACCGCTATCGGAACAATACCATGAGAAAAACAATTTCGCGGTGAACTCATTTCGTGCGCCGCAGAACATGAGACAAAGGGTAGAACACTCAGAATAAATTGGAGCTACAATGCGCTTATTAAATAGACCTGACTTAACGTGGCACTTTCAAGCAAACCATGGTAATCTCGGTCACGCCAAAGTCCTTCCGAGCGCATAGAGCTGACTTCGGTCGATTAGCAAATATTACCGCGAGCAATTTCAGTCCCTGTACGATTTTACCTCGCAGTGACCTGGAACGATGAGTTCATGTCACCGTCATACCTGCCTACAGTCAATCGCTTCGTGATCAAGGACACGTTTTACCAAGTTAGTGTCGACAAATATTGCCTGGCGGGAATCTCAGATCCTTTATCATTCTGACGATGTAGGCTTCATCGCATTTGCGGGTGAGTTGGACGATACAATAGCAAATGCATAAAGGCGCGTTCTGGTGGGTGGCAGCAGAACTATTGTTGTGTACTTGCACAGCATAACATATCCTAATGTCCTTTCCAGTAGGTGTGATCTACCACCACCAGTGTCCGAGGAAATCCGGCTTCTTTGGGGCAATCACCTGTTGGGCCAGCTTATCACCAGTTCTCAAGTGCTCTTTGGTGAATCGATCCGTATAATTGCTCGAGCGCAATGCACTTTTCAGCAGCCGAATGTCATTCAGTGCATGTAGCCTGTGCAATAGTACATAGCAGTAAGGGCTGGGCAGAAAGTGTGAAGATACTGTTCTGCCAAGTAGGTTTACAAGACACAGAACATGACACTGAACCATCCGGGTTTCGTTGGAATCAAATATCAAAAGGTGAATTAATTCGGCCAAACTCATTGATAAAATTAGCGTTTTAGGAGTGTTCATCAAAAACAGGTTTCCAACGGGCTGCTTGTTTTTGGCAGTCATCCAAACGTTTAGACGGAACGTTATTCGTAAAGTTGCTGAAAACTCGGAACCGGTTCCGATCTTTTTGGGGCTCAGCAGGTAGACAGTATTCCTGAGTTTCTCTCTATTTGAAATCAAATTGGAGGCTAATAGCGAGAAATACATTCACCTGAAGAACATCATAAACGAAGCATTTGGTTGGATTCTGTTGGGTTTTCTGTTAGAACCAGTTAAGTGTGCGATTATAGTTCACGAATCGTCCAGACGTTTCCTGTAAAGTGGAATGGCCTGGATACGGGCCTGCACCTCGCTGTAGCCTGAACTTGACGCTTTTGGCCCGAGAGCACTTCACGGACTGCAGCTCTTCTCCAGTTCGCATATAAGTTTGTCCTAGATGGCTAGTCTTTATGATAAGTGCAGCGTGCCGCATGATTGGTCATATACAAGAAACAATGTTGTGGCAGTTAAAAGAACAGCAACGTTTCGGCTGTCTTCCGTCAGGAGAAGCAGACTGGCTGATTAGATCAATCCTTGATAGGATGATCGGTCGGTCGAACAGCCTTTGATCAATCAACTAATGTGTAAATCCAAACATCTCCCCGGAGGAAGTCGCACTCGAAACGCTGAGTTAATAATTTGCTCTTAACATTGTTTCTCAACCAACAAACAACCAAAATAACTCACTAATAATCAATTTTGCCCCGTCCGTACTGAATACGGTGTGGGTATTCAAGACAGTATTTGCAATTTACTCTGATCATTTAACATTTTTACTCTACTTTGGTACCAATGGGTTTGCGCATTTGCGGGCATTCCGAGTGTTAAACTAAGCGGTCCCTGAGATAGCCAGATATGATTTATGCCGTAGTTCTCACAAGGCACCTGAGCGAGTGAGTTCGAATGTTTTTATCAGTAGAAACAGTGGATGACTTCGTCAAGATCATATCCATTTTTCTCTAAAGCGTAGTTGTCAATGCTTACCAGAGGATCTATCGCACAAGCTGTTTGTGGACAGTGTCGCCATTTTCCCAAGGTGTGTTCTTCGAAAACATTCACGATCCCCGTGTGGGAATACACGTTTAACGGACTTCAGCTGGCAATGGCTGCTTTAGTGTACATGTACCGGTGCTTTTCACTCTCAAGTAGAATACACACCGAAACGAAATGGTTACCAGTGTTCGATCACGAGACGCAATCGGTGGTAATTGAAACCGCATGAAACAACACCTGAAGAGACCTGTCAACTTACAGAAATCTCACGGAGTTTGACAACCCATAATTGGGATGCCTTCTTACATCCATCAAGCAATTATGGATTTACGAAATATAGCGAGCCTCTGCCATGCACTCCCACAATTTCCTAACTTTGCAGTGAAACACGATCTGAAGAATAAATTCGAACCGGACGCTATGATACCTGAACATTAACGCGCCTTCCCAACAACTTGCCCGTGTCACAGTTCCACTCTGTTCAGTAAGTTTGCAAAAAGCTGCCATGAGATCCCTCTTGGACGAAAAATGGTAGTGGTAAATCTCAACACTTCGATTTCAGATATCTCACTCCAGTAATCTGTTGACAATACACAGATCCAGTGTTCCGGTCGTCCAGGTTGCCTGGAAGTATATTTTGGCAAGTGCCAAAGCATTTGTCAGTTTAACTGCATTCTGTACGGGCCGGAAAATCAGGATAGGTTCGTTTACGTAACTATCAGAAATACCGGTAGTTTTCACTGTGCTCAAAGATGTGGAGTGAGTTCTATGCTTTGAAAGGGATGAGGCACCGCATGATGAGCAAATTACAAACCTCCAGAGATGTTCTTCGAAGCTCGGTTGGGGTGTTCGAAAACAACTATAGTGGAGCACTGTTATGATGAATGCCATAGAGCCCGGTAGTTTTTCATCAGGAAACACGGAATATACATCGCCATTGGATCAAGATACGCGATTTTATCGAAGCAGCAATCACTTGTACGTCAGTGGTGTTAAATACGAGTAATACGGTCGGCTTTCGGCAAGCCGGTTATTTCCCAAGATTCGCGTCACGTCACTCAGTGGACCCTCACACCGGTTTTACACTGCTGCCCCAAAATGGAAACCACAACCAAGCTGATTGATTCTAGACTCATCATCATCGACAGCATGACATCAGTGTTCAACACCGATGCTTCACTCCCGTACAACCATGACTTATTTGAAAGCCTTGTTGTAAAGAAAAAGGTAAAGGTGGACGGGGGAGGGACTTAGT